GATTACAATACTTGAAATGTAAAGCACTTACTATAAAAGGGATGTCAGAAAAGTACTCCATAAAGACAGCCAAATATACCTATGATTTGCAAGTTAAAAGTAGCATATCCTCCTCAGTCCACAGTTTTATTGCTTGTAAGTTTATATCCTACACTTGCTGACAACCTATTATCCGAATTCAAATTTACTGTTTCTAGGTTTTATCTCCTGCAGTTGCTGACAACCTATTATCCCATTCAAATTTACTGGTTGTAAGCTATTATCCCCATTCAAATTTACTGGTTGTTGACAACCTGTTAGATTCTATCCATACTAAAATCACCAGATAACGGATAGTTCCTAAAGAACAGTATGCACATCATGGCCAGTTGCAATCTCAGGCGTCGCCTCTTATTATGTGGGTACCAAACTATAACGGAATTAATTTAGGCAAAAAAAAACAAATTATAACAGTGGATCTATTCATAATAGCTTCTTTTACTGCTATCATCAACATAGACATAAGATAAAACAAATCTATCAAACTATTAGCAGATAGCTTTTCATTAACATTTTCATCTCTTCTTTATGCAGATACATCGACTTTAAACTACATGCGTTGCTAGTCCAAAGTTAATGAAAAACCTCTTACATCTACGGTAACTAAATGATGATCATATTTATGATAAAATAATCAATTACCTCTGCCTGAACTGCAGCAGCCTGCTTCACTTGGGGTGGGCGATAAGCAGCAGGCTTTTGCGTTGTATTCATGGAGGCTTGTGGTGGGCGATAGGAAGCAGGCTTTTGCGCTGAATTCATGGAGGCCTTTGGAGGTGCTTGTGATGATTTAGGGTCTTCTGCTGTAAGATCAATGAATACTCATAAACTAACACGCGAGACTGTAACTTTACAAGGTTTTTGGATATGTAATGACCTTGCTTTTTTGTTTGGTCTATAATTGTTAATGTGTCCACAGACTTGATAAGGTCAGCAATACCACCAAACCTTTCAGGTGCTTCTGGCTTCCAATCAGCCTACATGACAAAGTTATTGATCACGTGATGCTTTCCATAAAAAGAAAATTGTTTTAGACATAATGTACCCTAAATCCTTCAAAATTTTAAAACAGATCCTCAAATCTGTGAGATTGTTATTCAGCCCCCCAAATTATATAAGTTTCTCCAAATTAGTCCCCATGGTAAGCTGTTGTTGAGTTGTCTAGAATACACCAAACATGATCTTCCAATTATGCCCTCAACTTCCACTAAGATCCAAACCAATACCCGATTCCAAGACCCAAACACACCCAAATCTAGTATACAAACCAAAATGTATAGCTTCTCCCTCCAGCTGTCTTCTTCTTCCTCAAACCGATCTTTTAACAAGACCTCTCCTTTCAATCCATTAAGACCCCTCTATATGTTCCATAATCTCGAAGCATGAATCTAACCCATCCGCAAGTCTGGTTGAAGGGTATAAAGGTAATTTTCTTGTTGTGCTAAACCCAACTAGGATTAGAGAACGTGATGGAGAAACTATCACGAGAACTAATTTGGAGTTACATATAGGATTATGATGGACTAAATAGCAATTTCAAAGATTGGAAACTAATTTTAAAAATATGAATATTTTAAAGGACCAATATCTGAAAAACCTAAAAAATGCTATAGACTATGAACAGCTTGGAACTTGGAAGGATTACCTGAAACAACTTACTGAACATTTTCTTAAAATACAGAGCTCCATCGTAGCGGAAGATCTTTATCCTGAACAAGAAGCACACCATGTTATGCAAATTTATATTAGCTGAAATTTTAATAAAATAACCCAAAATAAGCACACCCGTTGTCTATTTGTAGCCTCGGTGCAGTTGTGGCAGTCATGAAATAACATCCATCAGGAGACCATTCACTTGTCACGGAACATTCTGCCCTGGTTGTTCCAAGCACTTTCTTTTCTGAATAATCCCAAAAAGCCTAAACAAAAGAAAGCACAAATAACAGAAATATATTAACTGCAAAAGGAGATAATATAATCTTTGGTCAACTGTTGTAGAATATTCCAAAAGCCACTAAAATATGACAAATTTTCAAATGAATAAAATGGTAATTGCATTCAGTAGATAGATGGTAAATGGAAAGTCAAGTTTTTATCAAGTTTCTGTAATATATAGATGTCTTTTCTCAAGTATTACATGTGTTCATGTAATCTATTGCATAGTAATATAAACAGATCGTATATCTCAAGATTAAAATAGACAAACATACCATGTCACCAGGCAAGTTACCAAATCCGGCCAAACATATGACTGTGTTATTCAAGAGTCAAGGGCAGAAATATGTATAAAATATAAATCATCCAGATATATCTCAGTTTCCTATATTAGTTTCAGACTTTCAGAATAGCAAATAATAAAGGAATCAAAAGAAAATCTAATCTCATTAACAACAAGCCAGACATTAAGTAACAATTACAAAACAACAAATAAGTTTCCTGAAAGGATACATTTTCCTTTTGGGTTCCATCTGACTGTATTGTAAGGACCTGTTCCAAGTTCAAGGATTGGATTGCATTTCTTGTCAAAAATTGTAGCTTTGGCCGGCATGACTGAAAATGAGAAACACAACAATGTGAAGTTCATTCCATGTCAGATATCCATATGTAATAGAACACAAAGGACAGATTAGAGAGAGAGAGAGAGAGAGAGAGAGAGAGAGAGATACATCCATAAACTACAGCAAACTCCAAACCCGAAGTAGACCATTGAACATCATGAACAGGACCCTCTTTACCTGCAACAATCCCAACTATGAGTAACAAGATTGGATGCAATAACAACAATCGACAAACTATAAAGAAAACTTACGCAGAGGAACAAGTCCCTCATGACTCCCATCAGTTGTCAAGTAGTTCAATTTAGACTCTCCATAATAACTTTGGTTGGTTTTATCTACATCAGCTTGGGCCACAACCAAGAGACCTGTAGAGCCATTGTTCCAGTGTAATTGTGCAGTTGAGCAACGAAAAAAACTCCTTCGTGCAACAGCCTGAGACTGTTTGTCCTTGTTACAAGAAAATATTTGAACACTAGCTGGAACACCCTGATAAAGAGAATCAAATGTTAAAAGCTATACTTAGAAAATGAAAGGGTAAAAACCCCTAACAAGTTTGGCCCAGTTTCAGATGACCCCCAAAAAGCTTGAAATGTCACTTAACCACTCAAAATGTTTTCACTTAACCTCCACAGGTTGGGACTTGGGAGTTAATTTGAAAATAGATTAAGAAAAATGTAAAGTTTTGGGGGTTAAGTGACATTTCCAAACTTTTTGGGGGTTATCTCAAAATGCACCAAGCTTCTTTGGGATTTTGTAAAATTTACCTAAAAGAAATTTCAAAAGCAAACAAGAACTAATTAACCTTGGATTCTGGAACATATGCTGCAACATATGAACCGGGAGATTTTGAAAGCTCCATTGCTGAAACACCAGGTATTCTTACTTTAGATATGATTCCTTTGGCAAAGTCCTTGGCATCAAAAAATTGTATCTCATTTGTTGCCATTCGGCATGCAATAGTTTCATCGGAGCTAAACTGAATTGTAGGCCTAAGGAAACAAAAACAGTCACACAATCAGATGCAAAGAAAACATCTAAATATTAAGAAGAAATAAATCATGGGTTTGAACTGTTTTATTGCACCAAGTGGTTTTAGACATATTCTTCTGGAATTGTTGATAAACAGGAACACCTGTCTTGATCTCCCAGAGTGAAACGTTCTTATCTTGTGGATTGGAGGGTTTTTGAAAAGTTTGGAGAAAGGTTCCACAGGGAGAAAGAGCAGCAGCAAGAACAGACGGGATCTCAAAGGATCTAATCTCAGTGACGTCGTTGCTGCAATCATAAATAGAAATAACAGAGGTGCTTTTGATCACCAGCAGTCTGGACCCATTTTCGCTAAATTTGGCAGAAGAGCAAGGAACTCTCTCAAGTCTGATATGTGGCTGGCCATTGGCAAAGGGGGGTCCATTCCAGATAGAAAAACCTTCAGGTTCTCGAGCTGACAAAAAGGTAGTAATGAGAGTAAGTACTAAAAAGAATTATCAGATGTAGAAAACCATTAAGGTAAGCAAAGGAAGTACCTAAGATTTGTAGAGTCGGTGGATTCACTGTAGCTGACATTTGGCAGTAGCAGTAGTCCAAGCAGAGAAGAGGGATAATTTCTGCAGCAGACAACTGATAGTAACTATATTATCTTGCAACGTAGGTTATACATAGATATGCACTGGGCTAAATCCTGAGGAAAATAGTCAAACGTTCGATGAGAATGGAGCCAACTGTATCTTCTAGAAGACAAAGGATTAGTCATAATTTTCATTAAAGCTTATCAATATGTCTTGGTGCTAGACTTCTTCTATTTTCTTAAATAAAAGACTCATGAGGTCATTTAGACTGACATTGTACTCTTGAATGTTTCGGTCAAGGCTGTATAATCTTCCGGTGTTTATCACTTCGAACATGTATCATTTCTATTTCAAAAATTACTCAAAACCCTTTTTTTAACCTATATTATATCTGAGAGTTTAACTAGGCATAGGAAGTTGATTCCTATGCTACTCTGGCAGGATCCCCAAAAACATCAAGATTGCTACTTGTTCTCAAATAGGACACAAATTCTGTTCAAAGGTAGACCCAGTAGCTTCAAACTTAAAAGCATTAGAAACACCAAAGTTTTCTCTTTATTTATCTTCATACAAGTATTCCACCCCCCACCCCCCTATGGTAGACCGTGATATCCTAGATATCAAGCTTAAAACCATGGCTGCCATGGCCTTACCCATTGAGAAAACTTTCCAATCGTGATAATTTTCAAAAATTTCACACGCACTCATCAAAAGATTGAAAATTTATCTACACGAAGTAAAAAAAAATTATACGATATCAAATCAATGGTGCTCTCTTCCACAACTTACTGAAATAGATGTCCCCTCAAAAACCCTAACTTAGTATCATACTCATATGAACAGAACTCAACCCCACATCTTAAAATCTAATGATCTGAACTCAAACCAAGGTTCTCATTTTAGGGTTAGTAGATGGTTACAAATCTTACTAAATAATTCAAAATTTAAACCTAATAATTGAAAAAAAACTCAGAACTGGGGTTTCGATCAAACAGTACCTTATCGCCGGCGAAATTGGGGGCAGCCGCCGGAGATTTGGAGATCGAAGTGCTGCTGATGCGTCTAGCTAGCTATCGTTTTTCCTTTCTTTATGATTCCAGTGATGAACGGGTCGGTTTCGGGTCGGATTTTTTTAACCATTTGCCACCCTCTATTTAAGGATCCAAAAACCCAATAATTATGACATGATAGTTTTGTGAAGTTCATCCTAATTTTGGACAAAATTTCAAAACAATCCCCTTTACCAAAATATTCCCAAAAAATGAACCCTTTCAACAATATTTTCAAAAACCGACCTGCTTTCAGCCTCAGCGCTGAAACCAGGTCGGTTTTTGTGAAAAAAAAAACTAAAACTTCATGGGAGTTGAACTCCTGTGAAGTAACTTCTGTGAAGTTTAGCAAAGCTCCTAAACTTCACGGGAGTTGTACTCCTGTGAAGTTTAGCAGATTTGCTAAACTTCACGAGAGTCAACTCCCTTGAAGTTTCAGTTTTTTTTACAAAAATCGACCTGGTTTCAGCGCTGAGACTGAAACCATGTCGGTTTTTGAAAATATTGTTGAAATGGGTCTTTTTTGGGGATCAAATGTGTAAAGAGGACGCTTTTGAAAATTTGTCCTCCTAATTTTCTTTTTGTACTGATATGAACAAATACCGTCTCCTCTATTATAAAATTCCAACGACCAGATATAATTTAAAAAATCGATTAATACATGTATGGATATACCTGACAAACTCACATACGTGCAGATACAATGGCGGATGTATATACAGCCTAGGGGTGCAGCTACACCACTAGAATTTTTCAAATTAGCATCTAAACCCTAATTAGGTTTACAATCTACGGTATCTACCCCCGTGAATTTTAAAAATCACACTCAAGGCTCAACCTATATATATAAAGCACATTTAAATTTCCTATAATAAAGTTATATGGGCTCCAATATTAAAAACCCAAAACCACGACAATAAAAATCCAAAATGGAAAGATAGTACGAAAACCTAAGCCCAGTAACCTATTTTTCAGACTTCACATCGATCCCGAATTGGGAATTTGGGATCAAAGTAAGTTCAGTAATATTTTATTATATGTATAAATACTTGTTGTCCACCCCTAAAAAAATTCTGGCTACGCCACTTTGTGGATATATGAATATTTGGATTCCTAACTCTCAATTAATTTGCAACACAAAATATAGTCAATTGATAAGTTTTTCTTAGTAGTTTGGTCTTAAGATTAAAGGCATTCACTTGGTGACCTTTCAATAAGAAGAACTTAATAGATAGATTGATATAGAGTAGAACTTGTGTCAACTTAAGTGGACAATGGTCTTTTGTCCACCAAAGTTTCTATCCACTCGTATATATATTTATAAACGGTTTTTCTTTAGAGTACTCATAGGCACTCTATAAGAGAAGAGAGAGATAGAGAGAAATGAATAGTCATGGCTCCCCCTGATTTACATTAATTTCTGTGCATAATTTATTTATCTCTATCTCTCTCCTCTCTTATAGAGTGCCCATGGGCACTCTATAAAAAAACCGATATATAAAAAGTCTCTTCATATCTTGCATGGATCCCTAGGTCATCAATGGATAGAAACTTTGGTGGATGTCTACTTAAGTTGACATAAGTTATCCTCGATAGATATATATAGAGATTAATGTGTATCATTGTCAAGGAAGGGGATTCTCTCCTTGACAATGATGTGGCACAATCCCCATCATGTGAATAAAGTTCGTCGAGAGAATTTCATATGGTGGGGATTGTGTAACATCATTGTCAATGAGGGAATCCCCTCTTTGACATAGGATACCCATTAATCTCATATATATTATAATATATATAATATATATATATATATATATATATATATATATATATATATATATATATACATATTATACTATACCGCCGAACCAAGCCGATACTATATATATATATATATATACTAATAATATTATAACTCTATATATATTACTATAATTATGAGATTAATGGCGCCGTATAACTTTGTCATAGGAGGCGGCGCATTTCCTTCCTTGCACGCCCTCTAAAATCACATGATTGACGCCGACCATTGATGCGATGAATCCGCTTTCGTTGAACTTGTATCTTACATATTTCTAAAACCACCCACACACAATTCAAGGTTTGGCCGCTGCAACCCCGATCGTCTGCTTGTGAGCCATTCATTCCAGCCCTCATATTCACAATTTTAACGGTTGTTGATTATGAACTAGAGACTTGTTTTCACACTGGCCTCGAATGGCAGGGTCAAACGACGCACGGCGATTCACCCCAAAGCTTGGTTGTGCTTGGCCGGTTATAAGAATATGTAGCCATCAGACGATTCAACGGGCCAGCTGGCATCATCCACCAATGTTGGCGCCTCAATCATGCTGATATTTAGAGGCTCCTGTCACGGAGGCAAATCCCCTCCTATGACCAAGGATACCATTAATCTCTCTCTCTCTTCTCTCTCTCTCTTCTCTCTCTAATATATACCTATAATATATATATATATATATATATATATATATATATATATATATATATATATATATATATATATATATATATATATTTGTATGTATATGTGTATACATATATGTGCATGTGTGTATCTATATGTGTGTGTGTGTGCGCGCTTATATGTATATGTATACATATATGCATACGTATATGTATATCTATACATATACATATACATATATGTATACATATGTATATACGCATATGTACATATGTATGTATGTATGTGTGTGTGTGTGTGTATGTATGTATATACATAAATATATGCACACACTAAGTTTTATGCATGCAATGCACGTGGTTAAATACCATGATTAAGTATATTTGGTTTATTTCATTACTAAAATTTGCTCCTGGGTTCCAACTTTGATGGTTTTTCTCTGTTATGTCTCTAAACTTTAGCATTGTGATTATTTAATTCTTTGATGCTCGTTTAAATGAGCTACACCCAATTTAAAATTTTATATTGGTAATTGAATTGACAGGAAACAAATATAGTCCGAAGTTAATTTGAATTATCATGTTATTTGGACCGATAAAAAATCAAACTTGACCTAAGAAAGTATAGCATTACAATAGCGAAAAACACTTTGAAAATAGCGTTGTAAAAGTAAGATGAATAATTTTAAAGCTAGTAAGTCAAGATGATTAGATAAATGTGGACTAAAACGATATAAAAAAGAATATGGAGTTTATTCCTAGTCCTAAAAAACTATAAGTTAAAGATTAATGTCTACTCTAATACACTTTATATGATGAAAGCATCCACATAAGCTTATAAAAGTACAAAAAAAAGTTTATAAAAATCTCTTCTAAAGATTCTTAATTTACTAAAAAATAAACAATTTTATAAAATAATCAAAAAACATGGTCTTTCATTCATTCTAATTCATTTTTATTCAGCCGTCATCAATCATTCTCGCCATTTATATTTTTCGATAAAATTAGACCACTTTTAGATGCTGAAAAAGAATAGTTAAATTGGGAGTTAAATTTATATATCTTAATGAAAAAATATCAAACAACTACTATTTTTTTCTAAGTTTTGAAAGTTTAGTCGTTTTTTTGTGATTTTGAATTTTTAAGGGTGCGTTTTGCAAATTTTGAAACTTAAAGAGTGTTTTTTAAAATTTTAAATTTTAAGTTGGGTGCTTGTAATTTTTATATTTTATGTGTTAATGCTAAGTTTTCGAATGTCAGAATATTTCTTACAACTCTGAAATTTTGAAAGTGTTTTTACAATTATCAAAACTTTAGATTGTTTGTTGTAAATTTAAATTTTAGCGATCTGCTAATAATTTTCAGATTTGATATGTACTAGTTATAAGTTTTGAAACTTCAAGGCTTTTTTGTGATTTTTAACTTTTAAAAGAGTTTTTTGTATTTTTTATATCTTTGAGGTTATTTTTTTAAAAATTTTAAATTTTCAGGTGCCTGATGGTATAAATTCATCTTTGCTTCTTGCAAGTTTCTAAATTTCATAATTTTAGAGTGCTTTTTAATTATTTGAACTTTTGAGGGTATTTTTATAATTATTGAAACGTTGAGTGTGTTGTAAATTTTAAATTCTTGAAAGGTTGTTGTTAATTTTTAGATTTCATGTTTACTGTTTCAAGTTTTAAAATACCAGGATGTTTTGTGTAATTTTAAACTTTTGATGGTATTTTGTGTAATTTTTAAATTTTTTTGGGTTTTTACAATACTTTATATATTATAGCATGTTAGTTCTTTACCTTAATAAACTAATAGTGTGGAGCTATTTCATATGTTTCATTAATCTATCCTAACCATGTATCCTATCCTAATCCTGTGTGAGCTACCTACAGCTCACTAATTTTAACTTAGTTACACTCGCCTGTAAAAGTGCATGTTTGAGCGTCACCGTTAATTATGATCTACATGTCATCAAATAAGTGTGGATTAAATATCACGTGGCTTGGAATTTTTTTTGTCCTATAATTCAAGCCACTCAAAATAGCGAGCTGTTTAGACCGTTACAGACCGTTCATTTCTGACATGATTACAAGTCTTTGGGATATGTTCGATTTGCAAATATTGAATAAAATTTGCACAACTTCAAGCCTTGTGAGCCCCGTGGAGGATGTGATGATCAATTCTTAATCCAATTAATATAATTCATAGCATCAGATTTCAAAATCACCTATTTATGCATAATTCCAATCCATGTAGGCAGTGGCGGATCTACACCATTTTTAGTGGTGGTTCAAAATTCATTCATGGAGCAGCTCCAGCAGGAGGAAGAGCTAGAATCGCTTTCCCTCTGGTCAATAGTCCATCACTCCGTCCAAATCCCCTCCTCCGCCTCCCGCACCTTCGCCCTCCTAACCCTAACCCTCGTCTTGCCCCTCTCCTTCGCTGTCCTCGCCCACTCCCTCCTCACCCACCCCCTCCTCCTCCGCCTGGACCCCACCTCCCCCTCCGCCGTCTCCGACCTCTCCCTCTTCCTCCTCTACCAGCTGAGGTGGTTCAAGTGAACCACCTTGAACTAAGGTGGCTCCGCCACTGCATGTAGGATAGCTAATGCTTCTACTTCATCTGCTAAGAATGTTC